CATGGATTTTTTTTTCACATTCTGTCTCTCACAGTTGAAGTGTACCTCTGGTGCAAATTACTGACCTCTGTCATCATTTTAGGTGGGGGAACTTGCGCAATCGGTGGCTGACTAAATACTTTTTTGCCCCACTGTATGTCCCTAACTTCACCTATGGTCACAAACTGTGGGTAGTGACCGAAAGAACGAGATCACGGATACAAGCGGTGGAAATGAGCTTCCTCCGAAGGGTGGCCTCTCCCTTAGAAATAGGGTGAGAAGTTCAGCCATCCGGGAGGGGCTCAGAGTAGAACCGCTGCTCCTCCACATCGAAAGGAGCCAGTTGAGATGAATGGTAAATGGTATTTGTATAGCGCTTTACTAGTCCCTAAGGACCCCAAAGCGCTTTACACAGCCATCCACACACACACTCACACACTGGTGATGGCAAGCTATGTTGTAGCCACCCTGGGGCGCACTGACAGAGGCGAGGCTGTGCCACCGGGCCCTCTGACCACCACCAGTAGGCAACGGGTGAAGTTGCCTACTGGTGGAGATCAAAACTCCAGACATCCAGAGGCCCTCAGAACACAAGAGACCAAGGAAGACCAACAGAGGGGCAGCTGCGCCACTATCCCGAAAGAGCTGACGAGAGTCCCAGATGAGGGGTCACTCAGCAGCCGTGGAGCAGAAGCCAGGGGGGGGTTGCAGTGACGTGCCCGTGAGTTTATCTAAAAACCTTCAGTTTAACTTTCACTGATCATCACCGTCTGTCAGTTTAGTTTATTTTTGTTTTTTTCACACTGATGTTGAAACTTAAACTGTGTAACAAACAAAAATCTAAATAAATAAGGAAACTGTTTCTGGAGAACTGACACTGATGAAAGTTTCCACTTCACAAACAGGAGAAATGAGACATTTATGTATTTTAAATACATAACGCTGAGCATTACCTCGTTGGCGCTCAGCAACACAAACTCCGCCAGGCTGCCCTGCTTCCACGGCGGGATCGCCGCCCAAACCTGAGGACGACACACAAATGGCTCAAATCTGCATTTCTGTGCAGCTAGTTCAGAGAAACTTCACACATGTGCTCCTCTGGGAAACGGTTACGGATGTGGTAAAAAAAGCAGAATGACTTCATGGGTGTTAAAAAATACAGTACATTTAAAGTCACAGCGCACACACACCTACACACACACACCTACACACACACACACACAAACACACACACTAAACTAAGCAATAAAGTAACTAATTACTTTTGAACGCTAACCTTACTTTTGAAGTAATGAAATACCTTCTTTGAGAAGTAATCAATAATTAGTAAATAATTACTTTTTTCAAGTAACTTGACCAACACGGGTGGTGATAAGATAAAAATGGAGCTGTGAACTGGAAGGTCCCAGAAGGAAATAAAAGCACATTTTTTAAAAATGCAGCATTTAAAGAGCATTTGTGACCTTTTGAGGTATTGTTACCAAAATGGAGAACAAGCCAGATGTTATGACTGATAACAGTTTAACCTCACAAAGCTATGAAGGTGTGACGTTTCCTCTCATTTCCTTTGTGATATTTGTGGGGCAGCGCAGTGTGAAGATGAAAGTAAAATATATTTCACACGCCAGGAGCCTCATGAGGGCTGATGCCAGCCGGATGCTGACTAAAACTAATAATTAGTTGTTGTTTCTTTCCAAACTAGAAAAACTTGAATCGCATACATGGATGTCCCTCACCAGGATTCATCCGCTTGCATTTGAACACCGTTTTCTGTGGAGCCAATGTTATGTTACTCTTTCAAAGAGAGGGGAAGAAAAAAAGCGAGAGATGAAAACAACTGTGTTCGCGTTAAGGTATGAATGCCGTAAGTGCAGAACCAAATGTTCGACCAATAAAAGTCTATTGGGATCAAGTTGTACTGGTTTCTCTGAAGGTGGATGTAGCCAATCACACGGGCTCTGCCACGCCCACTGAGATTGTTAGCACCATTAGCAAGTGCAACACTGTCAGATTAAATTAACACAGAAACAAAAACACTGACTTCAGCAGATCAGGGAATTGTTTCCGGGTCAGCAATGTTGCCAACTTGTAGGAAGGTTGTATTCTTTCTGAGAGCAGCAGCACAGCGTAGAGGAAAACCTGAGGCCTTCTGAATTTTCTCTCTTAAAAGGGTTTGTTGACGGCAGCCGTGAAGAATCACAGTTAATTGGATTCTGCTCTCTGTGCGTACACCTCTCGTCTTTACCTCGTCCCCCTCTCTGAAGTGCTTCACGTCCAGGCCGCACTCCATGATGACCCCGGACACATCCCGGCCCAGAACGAGAGGAAACTCACTGCCCGACTGCTTGATGTTCAAAGGATCTCTCTTCATGGACAATGTAGCTGCGCCGTAGCCACCTGACGGGGAAAGAGTTTATGATTATTACATAAAGATTTAATGCTGTTTATGAATGTTTGTACTGGGACGTCAAAGTAATTCACCAACTGTAATTTTCAGCTCCACATTTTCATTCTTGGACAGTTCAAATTAATCCTTTATCCTGCCCCTCAGTCCTAAAGTGTCTCTTAAAGTAACTTAGCAACATAATTAAAAGGAGCATGAATCCAAAACTTCCTCTTCAAACTTCCTATAATTATTACTACTTTCAAATTCACGCGTGCAGCTCCTCAAGGATCCGTTCTCGGTCCTCTTCTACTTCACAGAGCGTTTTGAAAGTACAGAGGTCACAGATGAAGTTTATCATACTGAAGCTTTACTCAGATACAGCAGATAGAGTAGACGGTTGGCTGGAGTGTTTACATCAGCGGTCCCCAACCCCCGTGCCTCGGACCGGCACCGGTCCGTGAGTCGTTTGGTACCGGGCCGCGAGAGTTGAGGCTCAGGTGTGAAATGTATAGTTTTCAGGGTTTTTATCGGTTTTCAGTGTTATTTTGTTATCGTT